ATAGTGAAAGCCAGTATGAACGATATGAATTATTTACCAAGAGCATGAATTTATTGACATTATCACATTTCACTCTTTTTCGGCTCTACACTCTATCATGAGTTAATCATTAAACATAACCTAGATAATGATGGATGGATTAACCTGTTTAAAATATGATTTCAGTGTCCACATAACACCGTCAAAGGTACTAAAGGTTTTTTAGTCTGAAGATGAGTAAACCTAAAACCTCTCTGACAGCTGTTCCTATTATTTTGCCCATTTATAACAGTGAGGGTGGACCGTATGACACAAACACCTCTGCATCACAAACTGCAGCCTCCAGAATAACCACTAGGTTAAATCGACAGCTATCTGAAGCAGTTAACTAACATATTGTACATTATGTATTACACTGCATTAGGTTAAGCTGGATGCTATTAAACTGCAAACTGAGTGCATTGAATCAAACTAATGCCACAATGGAAGATTTTGGTGATGGCACATGGTGCTATGCTACTAGACAAGTCCACTTGTAAAGCTTCTGTCAATATAAAAGACAGATATATGAATGATAGTGTAAACTAAAATAAAAGATAAGAAAGCTCAAACAGATTAAACAGTAGAATACAAATTCCACTCAGTAGCTGCTGAAGAAGATAAGATGATATCCAATCAGAAGAAACGTGTAAACGATGTTTATAAACTTTAAATTCAGGATATTAAGATCAGACCGGGGCCACGCTCAGCAGATCAACGACACAGCCAGACGTCGTCTGCTGTGGAGCTGCTGCGTGACGATTCTGGAATGACGACTATATTTGGTACGGACGTTCAGCCACAACAGGGGCTGATAATAATGATGTAAACACACATTTATAGGGATGAAGCTAAAACAAAAGGTGTCATGTGTTTGTCACAGTTCTCCTCCTGGACGTGTCGTTAAGTAAAAATCTTTCAAAACGTATGATCTTGTTATCTCAAGATGTTGTAAACTGTTGTAAAAGTTTCTGAATCAGCTGCATCAGTTTGGCAGAACTGTCTCAGATGTTGGTGAGCACCGTGCTGGTCACTATGGCAACAGTGAGGGTACCAGGGAGGTCGTTGTCACGGCGATTGCCCTTGTCCCTCAGGTGGAGCGTCTGCTGTAAATCACCCTGATCCGTCGGCAGCGTCACCTGACCCAGGAACGAGTCCTTCAGCGCGTTGTGGTTGTAGATCTGAGAGAGGCGGAGAGAGAGGGAGTGAAAGCTTCATGTCAAACACTCACACAAACACACAATCAAACACACAATCAAACACTCACACAAACACACA